TTTTATTGATTTCAATTCTAATAATATAAACTGTCAGTAATTCATTTTCTGAAAAAATTTTTATCTTTGACTATCAAATTGCTCGTTTTTACTCAATATTAAGAAAAATACATTAAAATATTTTAAAATTCTATTTAAAAATCTATAAAAATAGGAATTTTCGATTTAAACTAGGGGATGGTCCGATTTGCAATCATTGGTTTCAAATCGGACCGGAAAAAGCGTTTTTATATTTTTCATTCAGTTAGTTCAACACAGGTGAGAGGTAGATACGTCAAAATGATCTGAAGCAAAAATGAAGGGAACTAAATGATCTTTTCAATAGCACCTTCAGTTTTAAAATCGGACTTTATTTACGCCTTATAGAGAATAAAAACTGCAAATAGATCCGATTTAGACCACTCTCCTCTTACTATTTACGAGGATATTTTTGAGATAGACATGGATGTTCCATATTTTAATATAAATTCTTATCTTTTACAACTTGCTTTACGTAAATCTTTAATTATTTAATATACAATTAGAGAAGCATTACCTTCAGAAGAAACGAATTGATCCATTTCGTGAACGTCTTCTTCTGGATGTGAAGACGTTCTTCTTGCAGGGCCTTAATGCGGCCCTGCTCGAACTTGAGAACGTCTTCCCTCTGAGTCATTCTCTTCTGTATCTGCGCACCACCCCTGTATCTGTCGACTCTCGGTGGCGGATATGTAGGGGCGTGTTCGAGACTACGGATCCTTTCTTGGGGTGCGGCGCTGGGCCCGGCGCCGGGCACATACTGCGCCCCTGAAACAGAAATCGTCCGATTTTGGAACCTCGTTCTGTTAGCGTAAACGTGACGTAAACACAGGATACATGTGGAGGAAACACAATCATAAATGTTCTCCAGATGAAATCTCGTACGCGATTAGCATCTGTGACATTTCCTTTCTAGTAAACACGTGTTTCAAAACCTCATGCGGGCCCCAAGGACTCATAATAGGAATTGAAATTAAATTAGCGATGAATAACAAAATTAATATATAAGGGACCTTTCAGAATAGCTCCAGGAATAGTTATTTCAGAAGACCAAAGTTTTTCGAATCAGAATTTTTGCTATTAGTACACGCAACAAAAATTTATTATTAAGAATGTAAAAATAAATTAAAAAGTAAAAAAAGCAATGTTTTTTCCCATTATTGAAAAATTAAGAGATGTAAAAAAAATATTATTAGCAATTTGTGTAATACGAATATTTCATATTTTAATTAAAAAAGTTGAAGCAACAATCGTTTTATTAATAAATTTGACGTTCGAACTCGAATAATCCAAGGCATCTAATATGATATTTATTGATCGCTGTTTCGTAATACATTAATTGAAATCGAGAGGCAAAAATGACCCGTACACAAATAGCTTCTGTAACTTATGATCTTTCATTATTTTGACATAGATCGTTCTAACATTTGACCGCTGTAATATTACACTGTCAATTCATCATGATATATTGAATAGCCATGTCGATAAGAAATTATCTAACTTTCGATAGAATTTGACCTTATAAGATTCAAACTGCGGTATTGCTCGCTATTATTAACATATAACGAAACATTTAAAAGAATAAATATATATAACTAGATTTAATATAATATATACAGAAAAGAAAATTATATCGTGCGTATTAATCTCTTAAATACATTTTTATTAATAACCGCACTTATTCAGCACTATTTGGAGCAGTTCCTTTTTCTCTCTCTCCCTTTCTTTTTCTCTCTATTTGAAATAATTAAACAAGCGAAAGCTATAGACATCCGTCGTGACCCGCCTTTTTGATATCTACGCGAGAATGCGATAAGACGTATCTATCCTAAAATAGAGTAATAGGAAGTGCCATAGGCGTGGATATTGCATTAGGATGAGAGTGCACCATGACTTTTCTCGTGCGGGAGAAAGGAACAACACACAACACACACAGGCATCCTTCTCGGGAAGATTAACGAGTCGTGATAACTTTTACGAGTGACAGTATTTACGCAGCAGGCAGATAAACAGCAAATCGAAGCTGGTACGAAGTCAACATTCGAAGTGGCCGTGTGAAAATATTCGCGACAACCTTAATTTGAATTTAGAGGATTACGTGGATTAAAATGATCGAGAGAACAGCGTAGCTGCAAATATTGAAAATTATCATTTCTCGGACGATAAATTTGGGCGGGGATGACTGCGTATCACGAATTAACTTCTTTACGATGACGAGGCTCATAAATATCATACCTCTGAAGATAGTTGTTAACGTTCTATCAAAGTACTAATGAGGATAAATTAATAAATTTATCGTTTCAAAAAAATTAATGACGATTTCATGCCCGAAGATTCACATCAATAAGGTCCGGTTTTTTATTATCTAGTTAACTTATGATTACACTTAATCTGATGTTTTATATAATAATTCATTTATATCATGGATGAAACCCATTGAGTGAAACATCAGATTAAGTTTAACAAGTTAACTAGATAATGAAAAACCTCACAGTAATTTTAAAAGCATTAGCGTTTACTCCATTATGCAGATCTATAGACCATGTTGTCTTGATGAAATAAATATCATAAATAAAAAATGATAAAAAGATGCCCCGATTAGTTCTCGCTACATAAGACTCGTTTAGTTAAAATCAGAGTTTCGCAAAGTTAAACAAGCGTTAAAAAGAAAGAATATGTATAGTATTTTAATTTCTCTCGAGGTTATCTGAGGACGCGAAACTCACATTTCATGCGCAACAATCCGATAATAAGAGCAAGTGCACAAACGACGACTGTGCACTCAAGACATGGCGACTCGTTTCTTACTGTTCGTGACTCGGCGGGATTATTGTCCTCGCTTATTGTCACTCCGGCTAATGCTACGTAGACGTCGTAAATTTTTTCGAGCCTCTAAAAGGACGCGCCAGCACGAACGTGAGCGCGAGCTTAAATTGGCCCGGCGAGCGCGGAAGAAAGGGGCGCACGCTAAAAAAAAAACGCGTAACTTTGAAGTGTCAATTATGACGGCTGCGTGTATGCGACTGCAGTACGATAGTAATGTACACATGCGTGCGTGCGTGCGTGCATTTGTAGCTCCGCTAAGGCGATTTAACGCTAGACCGCTAAACGCTCTTGCAAACTGTCAGTTTGTCGAATGAGTTGTTCTCACACATATATATCTGCATATATTTTATTTTTTATAGATTCTAATTATACTGGAGCGCTAACAGGAGTTATTTAAAATTAAATTCAGAACTAAATTAATAACACAATAATTTATCGATAAACTAGAAGCCTATACCGGTCGAAGCTAGATCTTTTAATGCTTTAAATAATTCAATGTGAATTATACATATACTATATATGTACTTGCATATATATCATATTTGTACTTCAAACTGCGCGCTGAATTGCTTTTCCGGACTTATAAACGCAATTAAACTATTGGAATAATATCACGAATTAAATTAAAATTGACAAGCAATTGTTAATAATTTTGATGCACAATCAGGTATCATATTAGCAAGATGTTAATGTGCTAAAAAACTGTAAATGAATTTATTGCGAAAAATATTACCTCGGCCGAGAGTCAAACCCGGATCTTTTGTATTCCGTACGAGCGTCCTGAGTCATTAGACTACCGAGGCCTTAGTAATATTCTTCTAATAATCAATATATGTAAGGAAACAACGTCTTTTTCAGGCGACATAATGTAAACAATAAGAATCTCATTAAAAAATTTTTAAACCGTACATGTGAAAACACAATCGATAAACTAGAAGCCTATACCGGTCGAAGCTAGAGCTTTTAATGCTTTAAATAATTCAATGTGACTAAATTAATAAGTACGTAAATTGAGAATCAGCACTCAAAAATTTACTGATAAGCCTATATTCAGAAATTTTATTTTATAATGGATTATTATTTAACGTATCATATTTTATTTTTAACAAGACTACAATAGGATTTATGCATTTTGCCATAAGTTAATTTACAGTAATTGTTTGTCAGTTGTGTAATTGATTCCTTTTAAGGATTCTTTGTGTATATGAAAGAAGGGATTCTGAATCGATAATAATCAATCCGCAACCGTCAATATTAATCAACGATCACTTCATCGATGTCTCATGTTGATATTAACGATGCCAATTGCTAGAGAAAGGTATTAGAAAGTTTTCTAATAGAAAATCGTGGACGTGTTGGTTCTTCCCGCGGGAGAGGACGATGAAACGTATTCATCATCTTTTGAAGGATCAAGGACGTGCTTCGGCGAATACACATTAAAGGATACGCTTTCACGAGCCAGCAAAATTTGTTTACATGCGCATGAGATTATTAAATGTAACATCGTCTGGCGGCTGCATGTGAAGTCACTTTCAGAGTCCGGTTTATGCGTTTGCCGCCTGTGGGACACGCATTTCGAAAGTAGATTAAATGCGACATTTTCGTGTCTCCAGTAGTGACGCTTTCACATATCGATATATTAACGTGGAAGGAGACATACCTACATATCGATCGATCGAAAACGGAAACTAGAGAATCGTAATTATGGGAAGATCTTGGTTTCCCGGCAATGTAAGATTTTATGCAAAATATTATGTACTAAAGAGATATAATCGAAAATCTGCGGTATAAAATCTTTGATGCCAAAGATTTACAATATCGAGAATATAAGCTGCAAAGATCTATGACATCGAAGATCTATGCTATATAGAAGTAGCGGTATCTTGATCTATCTGTGCTACCAAAGGATCTATAATAGCAATGATTTATTGGTTCCACATAATCGATAGCCGAGTATATCTGACTATATCGACGATTTATGGTACTATAGGTCAATGACGCCAAAGATTTACGGTCTATACCGATGTAATGAATATACAACGGCGAGGATCTACTGAGGATGCATAAAAAAGTATAATAAAAAATATCCGATGTCAGATATATGCTGTCATTAAAATCAAAGATCTTAATAGCACGATGACAAGAAATTATGGTATAGGAATTTTTGAAGTTAATAAAACATCTGCATTGTAAAGGATCTATATGACCGAATGAAAGAAAAACTCGAAGTAGCATCTCGACGAATTTGATTAGAAGACTTAATTTATTCGGTGCTCACGCACTGAACGTTTCTAACGGCGATCCATGTAACGCGACTGTAACACACGTACTTAGCGTGAATTCCTCAAGCGTGACGCGCACGGCGATACATATGCTCCCACAGCTCGCGTTAAGTACATTTCGCACCAGTCCGTGGCTTGTAGCGAGATACAACATGTACGTACAAGATAGCCGTCTTAAACGAGGTGGCACTGTTTAACCCCGTTAATCTGATTCAAGAAATCTCGGGGTTGAAAAATATAATTTCCTGATTTTTCTCCCTATTTCCAAATTATTTGTGAATTTAAGTGAGTATGTTTAGTATCTGAAAGGAGTTGTTTCTTTTATTTTAATCTGGCACAAGCTACCAACTACTTTCTTAACATTTGTGGCGAAAAGCAAGATGGCGATTGTCTCTCCTCACGAGCGAACGTGCTTAATTGTGAGTCTTCAATAAAAAGGTGAAATCCAGAAATTCTGCAGTCCACATTCATTCAAATTATCAGAGTATATTTTCTAAATCTGAATCAGTGGATAATCATTGATATCAGTGCCAAGCATGCCACTGGTAATCAGTGAATTAAATGCGACATTCCTAACCTAGCTAATCTTTATTATGTGATCTAACTAACCTTGTTGACTATATTTACACCGTGCGTGCGCTTAGTCCGCGACCTATACGATAGATGTCTTTGTTTAACCTACAGGATAAAGATACAAGGAAGCAAAAGGACTCCTTTACGGCCCTGGCCGATTGAACGTAAAAATCGTATAAAAGTATTTCTTACCTCACAAAAACCATTCCTCAAACTTTGAACGCGTTTTTCTCAAAACGATTTTTTCGAATTCGGCGAGCAGTGTATTTCGAAAATTTATTATCTGATTAAGATGAAATTTGGAGGGAATTTTTAAAACATATCACTGCAGCGAATGAACCTATAAAAATTTTAATTTTTTTCAATTAACGATTTTTTATGCACTTCCAAAGACAAAAAAAAAAGGTCAAAAATGATAATCTTCATTTATCATCGTGTAATTTCTATAATTTTGAGTTTTAACTTCTGGGGGCGGTCCATTCCACGGAATATAGTGTCCTGAATAACATATTTTTTTTATTTTTTATTTCAGACAAAATGGTAGAGAATTATCGTGCCTGCCAGGTGGACACTTTTCTTCAAGTGCGACGGATGTTTTTATTTATATCTTCACAAATAAATGCTTTTAAGAAACATTGCGACTCGTGTACTTTCATTTATATACACTCAAACAACCCTAAAAATTTCAATAAAATTCCTTTATAACTTTCGTCAGAAAAAATTCGCGAAAATCGTCCAATTTTCGACTCGATTAATAGGACTGCCCCCTTAAATTTAATGAATATAGTATTGGAAGATTGAAATTAACGTGCAAATATCAGTATTTTAGTTATACAATGCTCAAACATTCTTTCTTTTTTAGTTGAACTTCATTGATTGTCATTGCCAAGCATGCCACTGAGTAATTAGTGACTATCCACTGATTCAGATTTAGAGAGTATATTTTTTAAATACTTGGGATATTTTAGTAATAGCTGGTGTTTAAATTATTTCATGAGATCTAAATTCGCTGCTGTAATCATTATTGCAATTGTATGATAAAAAATGTGCATTTAGACGTGCATTTTTTAAATTTATTTTAACGGATACTTATGATAATACAGTTTACATGAAATCTCGAGATATTTTAAATTACGATGTAATTTAGTTTATTTCAACGAACGACTTAACTACAAATTTGAATATATCTCTGACAGTATGTTATTAGTCCATCAGGGCAAATGGTAGATCAAAGTTTCCGTCCGGCTTGTCTTATCTGCGGAGATAAGACAGGTGTGGTTATTATGAAAGTATCCTTAACACTGTGTACATTAGATTACAATTAGACACTACACAGACCTAATTGCATTTAATGACCAGGAGTTTCATTACGCAAGCTAATTATGTAACAAAAATATGTATATATATATATATGTGTGTGTAACAGCAGGTTTTCAGAGCAACAGACAACATTTTTTTATCTTGTATTTACCAGAATAATAATGATTGTACGCCATTAGGTGCTTTCACATGAGATATTATCCTCTTATCGCGTCCTTCTGATCAAAGCGCGATTCGCATGATCGACTTTTACGTAATCGATGAAACACTGGCAAAATACGCGAGGTGAGCCGCAAACGAGCGGTGACACCCAACTGATTCGGTTACCAGTCGAAGACCACTGACAGGACTCTTATCACGTATTGCATGTGTATTATGTCGGCCGGCTTATTTATGTAGCAGAAGCTAAGTACATTTATACGTGTGTGGCAATACATAGGCGTAGGACCAGAGATGAATTCGCGAGAGAAAATAAAGGCGATAAAAAACCTAGTGGAAGAAACAGACAATAGAATTGACAACTGAACTTGAGACTACGGAAAATTGTAATCGCAAGATTCTATTATTTTCGTACATTGTGAGTAGATGTATTGTGATAAGATATTATATTGTATTATAAACTATATTATATTACAAGATACATTCACGTCTTATTTTTAAGCCAAGTGATGAACTTAAACGTGGTTTTGTAACAATATTATAATAAAAAGATTAGCATAAGTATAATTGTAAAAAAATAAAACAGGCAGCACAAAGGATGCAATTGTACTCTAGAATACATGGAACTTAATCCGAGATTTTTAAACCAAAGAATATATCGTTAAGGAGATAACTCTTACGGAATGTTTACAAGTGACACGTACGCGATGATAACCGCGGCCTCAAATTTGATTCCGCCTGGAGTTCGTGCGAAAAACGCGAGAATTGTGAATCAACAAAAATCTATCTCTCTACTTTTAAAGATTTTTTAGGGATCTTTTATAGAAATATTTTTACAATGTTAGATTGTGATCTTTTATTATGACTTAGATCCTTTTTCTTTCTATTTCGCGTTTCAGAATAATTGCATTTGCAGAACAATTTCTCTCTCCTCCGCAAGCTTTAATATAAGTCTACTTAAAACGTAGTCTACATTTCCTAATATAAAATTATAATATAATATAAAAATTTTTAGAGTAGTAGATATAGGTAAAATTAAATGTTTTATTTAAAATAAACTCGCACAGGTTTAGTCAATTCTTTGAATCTGGGTACATATCTCTAAGCTCAATAAATATTGTATTACATAAAGCTTTTCTCGTAACTATATGATATTCCGTGCATCTTATTTCAAAGAGAATAATAATGAATCCTGAGAAAACGTGAACCTAGTTTCATGTTTCCGTTCTAAGGGTCGTCTCTTTACAACCTTGAATTTTTGCAGAAGGTGAACGAATTTAGATTGTTGCGGATGATATCAAGTTGAAAATTACAATTTGAGGGATGATTGACGACGCCGATGTTACTGACAAGATAATTAAATACCAGCCCTTTAATCATGGAACCGTCAATGCGGCAGGAAGTGCGGAATCGCAGCGGAAATACGGCGATTGCGCTGAAGTAGGGTCGGGTTTTTGACCAGGAGGCATCTTCGCATAATGTGTAACTTTGTCAATTCAAGCTGCGCCAATGCGAGCGAATAAAACTGATTAATATTATCAAAAACGCAAAGATATATTATTTATGAAATTAAATTAGATTAAGGAATTAATGAAAAATAAAAAAAAGCTCTACACAAATATTGACGGTGCAAAAATGGAGGTAACATTGTATATATTATGTTAAATTAAAAAATTATAATTAAAGATTAATTAATAATTTAAGATGAATTAAAGATGGTTTTAAAGCTCACGCTTTGTAACCTGCAGAGGAGAATATATTTTTGTAGCTTCAAAAGTAATTTATATTTACTGTCAAAACTTCAGTAGCATCTCTAACTCAAATCATTACTCCGATCGGCTTGAAATGCTCTAGAAATCGAACATGTGTGCGATGAGGAAGATACCAATGCTATTCGAAAGGGCATTGTTGTTGCCGGCAGGAAGCGCAGAATTGCACCGGAAATACGGTGAACGCACCGAAAGAGCCGAGAGAGGAGCTGCAAGACTAGCGGACCAGGTGAAATCGGAGCCGTATTATTATCGGCACTCATCCTGCCTGGAAAGTGCCAGCTCGTTCTGTTGACACTGATAGCCGAGACAAACATTAATTCATTCTCGTATCGTCGTTCCGCGCATATGTAACAGAGTATCCGAAGCAGAAGCGAGTTTCATGGCAACCATACCGTGTAGAATTTATAGCGACGTTCAGTCGTCTTCTTATTTCGAAGGAACGAAGAAATTTAATCACTCAGAAACATGATTTAATACGGCTATGTAATTAAGTGATTACATTTAAAATTTTCACGAAACCAAAGTGCTTCTTTTGGTTAAAGACCCGTTTTAACGTGGCATTCGAGATAAAAACACGGATTAAGCACCTGATAAGAAACACGAACTCTCAAGATGTAATTAATGGCTTAACTTTGGAATATCAATCATGTTAGGATAGAATAACGTTTCAAAAAATTAATGATAATTGAATTATGCTCATTTGTGCGTAAACGCGTACTCTCTGAAACTTTTAGAGTGAATGTCATTCTGAAAAGTGAAATCTCACTCTTAAAGATTGGAAATTGGGCCACTCTTTTTCAAGACTGGTTCAATTTTCATTCTTTAGAGTGAGACTTCACTCCAGAAAATTTAGAGGGTAAAAAGAACAGCACGTAATTTTCGCAATCGACGAACGACTGAAATCAAATGTCAACCTAATCGTTAATTGAGTTGAAGTAATTATACGCCACATAATAATCATTTATCGTTATCTCTGTCTCGTCACACGTTCCTCTCTATTGACGTTGATAACCCGAGCTATCTGATTCACATTCTCGTATCGAAGTGTATATACAAGGAAATAAACGCAATAACAGCTTCGAAGTTCAAACGATGGTGACGACATGCCTATATTTGGTCTGTGATATTGTGGGAATGGACTGGGGCCATTTTTCGAGCGTTTATTGCGCCGTTAAAGCTATTCGTTTCAACGCTCCGCGTGTGATTCGACTTTCCGAAAGATTGAAGCGACAAGTACAGTTAATTATCGCATAAAATCGTAAATGAAGTTGGAATTAAACATGTTAAATTATTTAGTGCGCCGTTATTTCAGACAACACAAAGTGTCTAAAATCGAGACATAAGACGTCTTTGGTGTCTAAAAGATGTGTTTTAATTCGTCTTATGTCTCAATTTTGGACTTTGTGTTGTCTGCAACGTGTCATTAAATTAATACTTCCATAATTTATTTGTACGTGAAACAGAACGAGTTACGCGCTACGACGCAGAAAGTGCATATTTTTCCTATTACGAGTTGCTTCTCCTTCGCAAATGACGAAGCTTGTTGAATCATCTCCTCTTTACGATTATCCATAACACCTTGAGAGTAAAACGGTGATGAACGAGAAATATTTTTCTATTCCTGCAGAAAGAGTTTTTAATACATGATTATGTACGTAGATATTATTCTGTGAAACGTATACTATTCTGTGTAATCTTTTGTTGAACATTCCACAATGAACTGTATCTCATATCTCGTTGCGAGCACATGTGCGTTGATATGTTTTATAAAGTATCACATGGCTTCTCATCATCTACATACCACTTAATTTGTAGTTTCTTATTTACAACTTGTTTCTATTTCTGGATAACTTCGAGAAATAAAAGAAATATGCAAAATACGCAAACTATAATTATTCTAATCATTATAAGGACGCGACATCCCACTTGATAAATTATTCGAAAGTAATTTAATTTCACTTCGTGATATTCTCCGGATGAAAGCAATTTCGATATTATAAAAATATCATAAACGAATGCGTAAACATGGATATATAAATAGCTTGTCGTAGTCCTTTCGGGCGCATGATAACCACAACTCGTCCTAACATTTCACGGTTGGCGGATTAAAGCGAACTGCGGGTAATTGTATCAATTGCTCGCGGAGTAATTAGGCGAAAGCACGTACGAACGATTCTTAGAAAACTTAATATGTCAATCCGCAATTGCACGATTGTTATCTATCTGCAGATTTGCATTGCTACACTGAGAAAAATGATTTGATTGTATCAACAAGACGTATATGGTTAAATGCATTTTGGTTAAATCTAGCAGAATTTCTGGTTATTATAACAGGACTCGAGAGTTTATAGCTAGACCGTTTGGTAGATTATACTATAAGGATTTGTTTAATATTTTCCAATTGGATCTGCAAAACACATCTAGTTATATTCACTAGACATATGCAACATTACCAGAATTCTGGTTAACGTTAGTACATCTAGGGGTTCTATTCTTGAGAAGAAACGTATACGAAAGTCTAGAAAAATATTATAGTATACGTTACGTTTTATTATCGTGCAAGTTGGCGCAAGTTGGCATGAGTCGAGCGAATGCGTATATTCTTTCTATTGTTTTGTATCGCGGCATAAGCCTTGTGTGTCTACAATGCTAGACCTCGATCCGAGTTTTCGAATCGTAAAATGTGTAGCCAATCAGCTTACAGTTTTTACGAAAAATCGACAGGTCGTCTAGCATCGTGGATACAAGGCTGTACCGCATACATCGCGCATCGTGGTCGGGTCGAGCGTCGAACGTATAATAATATATCGTGTTGTCTGTACTTACTAAAGTCAAGTCAGTGAAGTCTTGTAGTGAAACACGAAGTGAAACAATTATTACTGCAAGATGGACAAACTAAGTCGTCGTATTATAACCTGAACAGGTTAGAAAGAGGAAAAAGTAAAACGAAGTTATTATGTAGCTGACTGACGAAAAAACGTCTCCTCTTCTTCGAAGAAATTCTGGTAGATTCAATGGGTAAGCATTATTTGACCAACAAGAAATTCTGGTACAGTTTACGGGAAAAATTTATTCGATCAACAAAAAATTCTGGATGAGGTCACAAAACCAGTTGTTTGATCAACAAGAAATTCTTATACCAATGTATAATCAACGAGAAAAATTTATTCTATCAACAAAAAATTCTGGTAGATTTAACTAGAAGGAATTAATCAAATTCATCTGGTAATTCTTACAAGAATTCTGATTCGTCCGTTTTTGAACAGACATACTGGTTGAATCTACCAGATTTCTAAATAATCCAACCAAACTCTTTTTTCAGTGTATGAAGTTCGATTGAGGCATTTTTTTAAATCGTATCTATCAAATATTGCTGACGCTTCAGTTCCTTCATTGAAAATTTACTTTCGATCAAAGTAATCGCGTTCCTCGAAAAGAACTCGATACTTTATTTTATTGTTATGTAGCACTTTATGAATTCTCGATGCCGACGCGAAGCCATATGCGAGCTCATGCCGGCGCATAACAGCCTCAGCGCAGCTCTTCTAAGAGTTCGAAAACGCTTCAAATGACTCAGCCATTAGATCGCGAAACGCAGAGCGTTG